TTGCATGCACTGTAAACTGTTCTCCCTCGGACCCCTTGGCATCTTCTACTGTAAGTGGTCTCACCCTGACCTGCATTTCACTTTATCTGGTCTCCCCAGACCATGCATTCACTATATCTGGTCTCCCCAGGACCCTGCATTTACTATATCTGGTTTCCCCGAACCCTGAATTTCTATATCCTCTCTCTCCAGACCCTGCATTCACTATCATATTATGAAGTGAAAAAAATGCTGCGCTACATGAAAACAATTGCACAATTCTCCTATATATCAAAAAGCAAAGTGAAAAAATAATAAAATAAAAATTATTGAAAAAAAAATTAAGTAAATAAAACTTTATATAAGATAAACAAGGACCACACAAAAAAAAAATCAAAGTATTTTTTTTAAGTATGAATCTAGCAAAAGTCATTCCACAAACTCAAGTTCAATCAATAAAGTGTTCTTCTGTGAACCCTCCTTTTGGATAACGAAAAATATGTGCATCTGTCATCAATTCCCGTGCAAAGTCATCCTCCACCCATATATCTGCTCACCTCACGCAGTGTGACCGCACATTATACAATGTTACGTCTAACTGCACTTTTGGTCCCATTTTGGACTCTGAAGATCAGCGTGTTGAATGAGGACGCCAAAGTAATCTCCCTCCTGATAAGTGTCTTTGTATCAGCCGTATTCCTCATTACAAAGAACTCCACATAGTGCTTTATCCTTTTACACTTTTATTCATCAATTAAACATAAGAAATGCACTCACGTTCCGGAGGTGTATATTGCACCAGGTATGATGAACATCCAGTGATGTACTGAATAGACACTTAGATGGCAGTATCATCTCAGCAGCAGAGTCCTGTACATGCTACAAACCAGACCCCATCCATAATGCAATGTCCAGGAAAAGCACGGGGCCACTTAATGCAGTGTTTTTTCAACCTTTTTTGTGCAAAGGCACACTTTTTTCATGAAAAAAATCAAGAGGCACTCCACCATTAGAAAATGTTAAAAAAAATTTACCTCTGTGCCTATATTGACTATATATAAAGTAATTCTCTTGAATAGGAATTCAAACACAAAGAAATTATTTTATAAATTACTTTATTATGAAATAATAAAGTATTTTATAATTGGACCCTGGGGGCCGGACCAAGAGTAGATGAATGATGTGTATGTGTCATCCATAGTAAGTATAGTAATATTCCCCCATAGTAAGCATAGTAATTAATCCCTCATATAGTATTTCATCCCCAAATATCAGTATGGTTCCTGCCCTCATATAGTATTTCATACCCACACCATATAGTAATTCATCCCTATATAGTATTTCATCCCCCCATATAGTAATTCATCCCTCATATAGTATTTCAATCCCCCCATATAGTATTTCATCCCCCCATATAGTATTTCATCCCTCATATAGTAATTCAATCCCCTATATAGTATTTCATCCCCCCATATAGTATTTCATCCCCCCCCATATAGTATTTCATCCCCCCATATAGTAATTCATCCCTCATATAGTAATTCATCCCTCATATAGTATTTCATCCCCTCATATAGTATTTCATCCCTATATATAGTATTTCATCCCCCATATAGTATTTCATCCCCCCATATAGTATTTCATCCCCTCATACCAGTATTCCATCCCTCATATTAGTATTTCATCCCCCCATATAGTATTTCATCCCTCATACAGTAATTCATCCCTCATATAGTAATTCATCCCCCATATAGCTAGTATTTCATCCCTCATATAGTATTTCATCCCCCCATATAGTATTTCATCCCTCATATAGTAATTCATCCCCCCATATAGTATTTCATCCCCCATATAGTATTTCATCCCTCATATAGTAATTCATCCCCCCATATAGTATTTCATCATCCCCCATATAGTATTTCATCCCCCCATATAGTATTTCATACCCTCATATAGTCATTCATCCCTGATATAGTAATTCATCCCCCATATATAACTTTCATCCCCCCATATAGTATTTCATCCCTCATAAAGTAATTCATCAACCCTCATATAGTATTTCATCCCCCACAGTACTATTCCCCCCCCCCCCCTTCTAGTAAGCCAAGTCCCACCCGTGTCAATTCACTTACCTTTTGCGTTCCTCTCGCTGTCACTATACCGCGGTCCGTTCGGGTCTTCAGGGCGGACTGATGAGAGGAGCCATAGCTCCCCTCCCCTCACGTTCGGCACGCCTGCCCCGGATTACATACACATCCTGACAGCCACAACCGCAAGCCGGATTAAAAGGTTCCGCGCGGGACTTTTGGGGCTGCCAACACGAAAGGAGGCAGGGGAGCGGTCCCAAGCCCCGAATGACCCGAGAGGAGGGCAGGGGAGCAGGCGCCCGGCACACAGAAGAGCCGCATTAGACTGGGTTAGTAAAGAGCCGCATGGTGGCTCGCGAGCCGCGGCTTGCCAGACCCTGATTCATTAGATCTAATGATCCGGTCTAGTTTGTGAGCCGAAGCTCCCATGCATTACATGATGAAGAAAATTGGAAATTTTTTCCCACGGCACACCAGACAATATCTCACGGATAACACTAGGATCTGCCGCAGGCCCAGTGGTTGAAAAACGCTTCTGACTTAATGAATGATATTGCCTGCTGTAATGTCGTTCCAAGAGCCACTATACAGGTACTATAACCGCTGATCCCGATGAATAGTGACGGGTCATCCGCTCAACTAATCACTCGGGGTTCTGCACTCAACTATATCCGTGCTGTCTCCTCGGACCTGCATTCGCATTATATTGCTCATGCTCCGGACCCTGGTATTCACTATATCCATTCTTCATGGGCCGCTGCATTATTATATCTGGTCTTCCCGGGACCCTGCATTCACTATATGCGCTCTCCCACTAACGCCTGCATTCACTATATCGGCTCTTCCACGGACCTGCATTCACTATATCCTCGGTCTCCACAGACCTTGCATTCACTATATCTTCTCTCCCTGGACCCTGCATTCGACTATAATTGGTCCTGCCAGGGGGAACATGCATTCTCTATATCTGTCTCCGATAACCCTGCATTTGCACTATTACTGGTCTTCCAGGGACAGTGCATTCACTATATTACTGCGCTCTCCCCAGACCCTGCAATCACTATATCTTGTCTCCGGACCACTGCATTCTCTTATATTCCGCTCCTATCCCAGGACCTGGCATTCACTATATCAACTATCCCTAAAAACCCTTCATTCACTATATCTGGTCATCTCCCAGGGACCCTGACATTCATCTAATCTTGTCCCCAGACCCTGCATTCACTATCCTATTATGAAGTGAAAAAAATGAGCTACATTAAAAAAACAATTGCACAATTCCTATATATCAAAAAGCAAAGTGAAAAAAATAAATAATAAAATAAAAAATTATTTGAAAAAAAACCAAAAAATTAAGTAAAGAATACTATATATATATAAAAACAAGGGACCACACAAAAAATTATATCAAAAGTTTTTTTTTAAGTATGAATCAAGCAACAAAGTCTTTCAAAACTCAAGTTCAATCAATAAAGTGTTCTTCTGTGAACCCTTCTTTGGATAATGAAAAATATGTGCATCTGTCATTAATTCCCGTGCAAAGTCATCCTCCACCATATATCTGCTCACCTCACGCAGTGTGACCGCACATTATACAATGTTACATCTAACTGCACTTTTGGTCCCATTTGGACTCAGAAGATCAGCTTGTTGAATGAGGACTCCAAAGTAATCTCCCTCCTGATAAGCGTCTTTTGTATCAGCCCCCCGTATTCCTCATTACAAAGAACTCCACATAGTGCTTTCTCCTTTTACACACTTTTATTCATCAATTACAACATAAAAATGCACTCACGTTCCGGAGGTGTATATTGCACCAGGTTATGATGAAACATTCAGTGATGCACTGATTAGACACTAGATGGCAGTATCATTCTCAGCAACAGAGACCTGTTCATGCTCAAACCAGACCCCCATCCATAATGTAATGCCAGGCAAAGCAACTGGGGGGCCACTTAATGAATGCTATTGCTGCTGTAATGTCATTCCAGGAGCCGTTTACAGAGTACTATAATCTCTGTCCCGATGAATGGTAACGTCTTGTGACGTCATCCGCACACTCCTCCCTGGCCCCTGCATTCACTATATTCGCTTTCCCCAGACTCTGCATTCACTATATCTGCTCTCCCCAGAACCCTGCATTCACTATATGTGGTATCCTCCGGACCCTGCATTTCAATTATATCCACTCTCCCTGGACCCTGCATTCCCTATATCCGCTCTCCCAGGACCTTCATTCACTATATCAGGTTCTCCCTGGATCCTACATTCACTATATATCAGGTCTCCCCGGACCCTGCATTCACTATATCGCTTCCCGGAGCCCCTGCATTCACTATATCCGCTCTCCCCGGACCCTGCATTCACTATATCCGCTCTCCCCGGACCCTGCATTCACTATATCCGCTCTCCCCGGACCCTGCATTCACTATATCCGCTCTCCCCCGGACCCTGCATTCACTATATCCCTTTTCCCGGACCCTGAATTCACTATACCCTGGTCTCCCGGACCCTGTATTCACTATCTGGTCTCCCGGACACAGTATTCACTATATCTGATCTCCCTGGACCCTGCATTCACTATATCTCGGTCTCCACGGACCCTGCATTTTTACTATATATGGTCTCCCCAGACCCTGCATCCACTATATCCAGTCTCCCTGTACTGGTATTTGGTTTTTCCCTGGAAACATGGCATTCACTATATCAGGTCTCCCTGGATAATACATTCACTATATTGCTCTCCCCGGACTCTGCATTCACTATATCCACTCTCCCCCATACCCTGAATTCACTATATATCCGCTTTCCTGGAACCCTGCATTCACACTATATCCGCTCTCCCAGATAACCCTGCATTCACTATATCTGCTCTCTCCCTGGTCCAGTGGTTGAGATTTGAACCAGCGACCCTAGTACTGCCAGGTGGAAATGCTAACCATTCACTATATTCTGGTCTGCCAGGACCTGCATTCACTATATCTGGTCTGCCTGGACCCTGCATTCACTATATCTGCTCTCCCGGACCCTGCATTCACTATATCTGCTCTTCCCCTGACCCTGCATTCACTACCTGCTGTCCCCCCGGACCCTGCATTTACTATATCTGCTCTCCCTGGACCCTGCATTCACTTATATCTGCTCTATACCTGGACCCTGCATTCACTATATCTTGTCTCCCTGGACCCTGCATTCACTACAATTGGTCTGCCCGGAAACCTGCATGCACTATAACTGGTCTCCCCGGACCCTGCATTCACTGTAAGTGGTCTCCCCAGACCCTGAATTCACTATATATCCATCTCTCTCCAGATCCTGCCACATTCACTATCATATTATGAAGTGAAAAAAATGCTGCGCTACATGAAACATTTGCACAATTCCTATATATCAAAAAGCAAAGTGAAAAAAATAATAAAATAAAAATTATTGAAAAAAGAATTAAGTAAATAAAACTTTATATAGATAAACAAGGACCACACATAAAAAAAAAATCAAAGTATTTTTTAAGTATTATCTAGCAAAAGTCATTCCAAAAGTTCAATCAATAAAGTGTTCCTTCTGTGAATGAATTCTCCTTTGGATAACGAAAAAAAATATGTGCATCTGTCATTCAATTCCCGTGCAAAAGGACATCCTCCACCAATATCTGATCCACCTCGCGCACGCAGTGTGACCGCACCATTTAATTACAATGTTACGTCTAACTGCACTTTTGGTCCCATTTGTGGATCAGAAGATCAGCTTGTTGAATGAGGAATCCCAAAGTAATCTCCCTCTACTGATAAGCGTCTTTGTATCAGCCGTATTCCTCATTACAAAGAACTCCACATAGTGCTTTATCCTTTTACACTTTTTTTTTATTCCTCAATTAAAGCATAATAGATATACTCACGTTCTGGAGGTGTATATTGCAACCAGGTATGTATGAACACATCCAGTGATGTACTGATTAGACAATGGATGGCATTGTATCTATCTCAGCAGCAGAGTCCTGTACATGCTCAACCAGACCCCATCGTAATGTAATGCCAGGCATAAAGCCACGGGGCCACTTAATGAATGCTATTGGCTGCTGTAATGTCATTCCAGGAGCCACTTACAGGAGTACATGATAACCACTGTACCGATGAATGGTGACGTCATCCGCACACTCCTCCCCGGGTACTGCATTTACTATATCCGCTCTCCCCCGGACCCTGCATTCACTATATCTGCTCTCCCTGGACTTTGCATTCACTATATCCGGCTCTCCCCAGACCCTGCATACACTAAATCCACTCTCCCAGGACCCTGCATTCGCTATATCTGCTCTCCCCGGGACCCTGTATTCACTATATCATTGCTCTCAATGGGCCCGCATTCATTATATCTGGTCGCCGGACCCTGCATTCACTATATCGCTATCTCCCCAAACCCCTGCATTCACTATATTCGGTCTCCACGGACCCTGCATTCACTATATCTGGTCTCCCTGGACCTTGCAATTCACTTTATCTTCTCTCCCCTGGACCCTGCATTCACTATAATTGGTCTGCCTGGAACCTTGCATTCACTATATCTGGTCTCCCCGGACCCTGCATTCTATTACTGGTCTTTGCAGGACAGTGCGATTAAACTATTACTGGTCTCCGCGGACCTGCATTCACTATATATCCGCTCTCCCGGGACACTGCAATCACTATATCTGGTCTCCCGGACCCTGCATTCTCTATATCTGCTCTCCCAGTCCCTGCTTTCACTTATATCCACTATCCTAGGACCCTTCATTCACTATATCATGCTCTCCCAGGACCCCCCCCCCCTCCATTCACTATCTCTTGTCCCCCCAGGACCCTACATTCACTAACATATTATGAAGTGAAAAATATGAGTTACATTAAAATAAACAATTTGCACAATTCTCTATATGATCAAACAAGCAAAGTGAAAAAATAAATAATAAAATAAAAAATTATTGACAAAAAAAATTAAATAAAAAGAATACTATATATATAAAAACAATGGACCACACAAAAAATTATCATAAAATAGTATTTTTTAAGTATGAATCAAGCAAAAGTCTTTCAAAAACTCAAGTTCATATCAATAAGTGTTCTTCTGTGAACCCTTCTTTGGATAACGGAAAAATATGTGCATCTGTCAATCAATTCCCGTTGCAAAGACATCCGCCACATTATATTCTGCTCACCTCTCACGCTAGTGTGTGACCGCACATTATACAATGTTACGTCTAACTGCACTTTTGGTCCCATTTGGACTTCAGAAGATCAGCTTGGTTGAATGAAGACTCCAAGTAATCTCCCTCCAAAGTTAATCAATTAAACATAAGAATGCACTCACGTTCTACGGAGGTGTATATTGCACCAGGTATGTTGAACATCCAGTTATATACTGATTAGACACTAGATGGCAGTATCAATCTCAGCAGCAGAGTCCTTGTGTACATGCTTCAACGGACCCCATCCGTAATGTAATGCCAGGCAAGCACGGGGGCCACTTAATGAATGCTATTGCCTTCTGGAATGTCGTTCCAAGAGCTATGCTTACAGAGTACTATAACCGCTCTTTGCTTTCCTCGATGAATGATAACGTTGTGTGACAGTCATCCGCACACTCCTCACGGACACTGCATTCACCTTATATTCGCTTTCCCCAGACTCTGCATTCACTATATTCGCTCTCCCCAGACCCCTGCCATTCACTATATGTGGTTCTCTCCCGGACCCTGCATTCAATATATCCACTCTCCCTGGACCCTGCATTCCCTATATCCGCTCCTCCCAGGACCCTTGACATTCACTATATCTGGTCTCCACAGACCCTGCATTCACTATATCTGGTCTGCCTGGAACATCCTAGCATTCACTATGTCTGGTATGTCCACGGACACAGCATTCACTATATCTGGTCCATCCCCGGACACTGCATTTACTATATCTGGTTTTGTTTCCCCAGACCCTGCATTCGTCACTATAATCGGTCTCCACAGACTCCCACATTCACTATATCTGGCCTCCCCGGACCCCGCATTCATATATCCCCTCTCCCCGGACCCTGCATTTACTTATATCTGGTTCCCCACACCTGCATTCACTATAATCGGTCTCCCACAGACTCCACATTCACTATATTCTGGCCTCCCACGGACCCCGCATTCAATTATATCCCCTCTCCCCGACCCTGCATTCACTATATCCAGTGTCTCCGGACCCTGCATTACGACTATATCTTCACCCCGGACCCTGCATTTACTATATCCACTCTCCCTGGACCCTGCATTCACAATATCCCTCTCCGAGACCCTGAATTCAATATATCTGGTCTAACAGGACCCTGCATTCACTACATCAGTTCTCCCCGGACCCTGCAGTCTCTATATCCACTACTCCCCAGGCACTGCATTTTTTATATCTGCTCTCCCAGGAATCTGCATTCACTATATCTGCTCCTCCCAGGACCCTGAACTTCACTATATCTGGTCTCCCCGGACCCATGCATTCATAAAATATCCGCTCTAGCCGGACCTGCATTCACTATTATCCACTCTCCCTGGGACACTTCATTCACTATAACTGGTCTCCCTGGGGCTCTACATTCAATGTATCAACTCTCCCTGGACCCTGCATTCACTATATCTGGTTCCCAGGAGCTGCATTCTCTATATCCGCTCTCCCAGACCCTGCATTCAATATATCCAATCTCCCTGGATCCTTTATTCACTATATCTGGTCTCCACGGACCTGCATTCACTACATTCGATCTCCTCAGACCTGCATTCACTATGTCTGCTCTCCTCGGACGCTGCATTCACTATATCTTATATTGCCCAGACACTGCATTCACTATTTCCGGTCCCCCCCTCCGACCCTGCATTCACTATATCCGGTCTCCCCAGACCCTGCATTCACTCTTATATCTTCTCTCCCTGGGAACATGCATTCACTATATCTGGTCTCCCGGACCTGCATTCACACGATATATCTGGTCTCCCGGACCCTGCATTCACTTTTACTGGACTTCCAGGACTGCATTTCAATATATTCCCTATATATCAAAAAGCAATAAGTGAAAAAAATAAAATAAGAAAATAAAAATTATTGAAAAAGAATTATAGTAAAAATAAAACTATTTATATATATATATTTATATATTATATTTTTTATATATATATATATATAAAAAGGACCACAAAGAAGAAAAATCAAAAAGTATTTTTTAAGTATGTATCATATCAAAAGTCATTCTAATAACTCAAGTTCAATCAATAAAGTGTTCTTCTGTGAACCCTCCTTTTGGATAACAAAAAATATGTGCATCTGTCATCAATTCCCGTGCAAAGACATCCTCCCACCATATATATCTGCTCCCTCACGCAGTGTGTGAGCCGCACATTATGCAATGTTACGTCTAACTGCACTTTTGGTCCCATTTGGACCTCAGAAGATCAGCTTGTTGAATGAGGACTCCAAAGTAATCCTCCCTCCTGTAAGTGTCTTTGTATCAGCCGTATTCTCATTACAAAGAACTCCTACATAGTGCTTTATCCTTTTACACTTTTATTCATCAATTAAACATAAGAAATGCACTACACGTTCCGGAGGTGTATATTGCAACAGGTATGATGAACATCCAGTGATGTACTGATTAGACAACTAGATGGCAGTATCATACTCAGCAGCAGAGTCGCTTGATACATGCTTCAAAACCAGAGACCTCCGTAATGTAATGCCAGGCAAAAGCACGGGGCCACTTAATGATGTATTGGGCTGCTGTAATGTGGTTCCAGGAGCTGCTTACAGAGATACTATAAAATAGAGATGGAGCGAAGAAAATGAAAATTCGATTCCACTTATTCGGGAATTCGTGGGGACAATTATTCGATTCGAGTCGAATAAATGTCGCTGTGATTTTTACTTAAAAAAGGGTGTTGTTTCTAGGCCTTCAGAGAGACTTTATATTAGTGCCAGAACACGGTACCTTTAATTTAAATGCCTTGGAGTCCTGCTTTGGGCAGAAGGAAAAAAATTACTGTTAGTCGATGAATGCAGATGAGTGCCCCTCGACTTAGAATCACCCCACACTTCATCATTTGGGCGTCCGGGGCCAAACAGTGTTTGGGACACAGTGGGCGGTGGAGCCAGCAGCAAAGGGAGGCCATCAGAACCTATGACAAAAAAGGAAACCCGCAGGGTGTGAGGGGACCCCAAAATGGCACATGGCAGGTGGGAGAATGGGAGGCGGTACAGGGACCAGGTCAAAATGGGGGGGCCCCGCAGCAGCGTGACCCGGGGTACGGGGGCCCTGGCCCATTTGGGGCCTGGGGCACCTTTGGAAGGGGGGGGGGCCCCCCTAATCTGCCGCAAAACCCATGACAAAATGGAAAACCGCGGGGTGTAGGGACCCCAAAGTGGCACATGGCAGGTGGGGGCAAAAGGGAGGCGGGGGTACAGGGACCCAGGTCCACTGTGGGCCGCTCAGCTTTTAAAGGCGGTTCGGGGGCCCATGGCCGATTTGACCTGTTCATCCATGTCCGCCGACTCAGAATGCGTGGCCCTCAAAGGGCTGAGCCCAAACGCAGGTGTCACGCATGAGCGACAATGGCTGACATCTAAGTTACCGGGAGTACCTTTATCCGCTTTTAACATCAGGAAATCGGTGGGCCCTTTTTTGTTGTAAAGGCGGTCTAACATATGAGGTTGAATTAAAACCTTGTTGCACTCACGCATGAGGGGGTCGGGACGGGGGCCCATGGCAGATTACGGCCTGGCAGCCCCGCAATGGGAAAGGGCCCCTAATCTGCCAGCACCCTATGTCAAAAAATTGAAACACCAGCAGTGTGGAAGACCTCAAAGTGGCACTGGCAGATGGGGGCAATGGGAGGCCGTCAGGGGACCAGGTCACACTGTGGGCCCAGCAGCGCGGGGGACCCGGGGGTACAGGGGGGCCCCTGGCCGATATGGGGCCTGGGGGAAACCTATGGAAGGCCGTAATCTGCCCGAACCCTTTACAAAATGGGGAAAACGCAGGAGTGTGAGGGACCTCAAAAGTGGCACATGGGAGAGTGGAAGCAAAGGGAGGCCGTACAGGGACCCCGGTCAATGTGGGACCCGGGCAGGTGACCAGGCGGTACGGGGGGCCCATGGCCGATATGGGGCCGGCGGACCTATTTAAGGCCCCTAAACTGCCCGCAACCTATGGGCAAAATGGAAAACCCCAAAGGGGTGTGAGGGGGCCTCAAAGTGGCACTGGGGGAAATGGGGTGG